AAGACTAAATGAACTTGGGATGAACTACCCTAGAAATAAAAAGAATGGATAGAACCATGGAACCTGTTCGACGTTAGTCAACATGGTCAGAATTGATTTCGTTGCTATCTCACAACTTTTTCATCCGATGACAATGGAACCATAAACCACAGCCAGGACAACTCCTTTAGGTGAGTAAGGAGGGATGAGCAGTCGCAGCCTCAATGGAACATGTATACAATGAAGAACATCTGTAGTAGGGAGAAAGCAACTGGATGGGCTCGGGTGGAGCTCTTCTTTAAGTGTACACTCTGATCTCACGTTTGCCGGTTTCTCTCATGTGTAACTAGGTTTAATCGCTCGGGCACCGTTGTAGGAATCAGTTCACTTAGTGTTGGCCCAAACCTCCCGTAGTATCCGACTCGACAGTCTCTCCAACATCACCAATTTGTGAGAAAGAAAAAAAAATATAACTCGATCTATATACCATAAAACAAATCTATACAAATGAATATCAAACGTCGGGTGACCAAGATGTTGGGAAATTTGTTCAATAATTGAACCGGCCACCTATCTAAGATAGTTGCGACTGAAAATTTGCATGCTTCATTTTGTTTTGTTTTGTTTTTTTTTTTTTTTTTTTTGTTTTTTGTTTTTTTTTTTTTTTTTTTTTTTTTTTTTTTTTTTTTTTGTTTGTAATGAAAACCCTTTGACTCAAAATTTGGTTCCCAAAGGTGTGTAGGTGGAACCGAAAGGGTAATGATATAATCCGAATGGCCTAAGTGTGGAAATGACCATGTGTGGAGCATAAAGATGTAATGTAGGCTCCTTTTCAAACTTGTGGTTTTTCAAAGATAATGAAGATGTCCAAATGTGGACTAAAAGACTCTCTAAATTCTAAGAAAATCGCAAAAAGATATGGTGATGTAAAGAGACCGGATATGGATTCTACTCGGGGACAAGCACCAATGCTTCATCCTAACAGTTCAAACATGATCAAGTGTGATCCTCTCCGCGGTAGTGACCGCAAGGCTAAGAACACCCATTGCTATAGTATATCCTACAGTTGTTAGTATTGTATGCATAATTCTTCATGAAAACTACCTGTCCATGATCACTTACCCCTTTAAGCTACCAGCATCTGATCCCAAGTATGAAATCCCAAACTGCAGCTAGTGGTCCCGGTTCGATGGGTGAGATAGCAACAAGATCCTGGACCAATAATGATACAATAACTATGAACCTGTTCCATGGCATCCAAGAGAGGTGAGAATAAACAGACAACAAAAATGCATGAATGCTAATGTCTTAAGCTAAATGTTATGCAAAAATAAAAAGTAGAAAAGAAGAAAATAAAATCTTTTTGAAATTTATAAAATAAAAAAAAATGAATGCAAATTAACTTAAACTAATATGTTATGCAACCTAACTAAAAATGCATGAAAAAGAGTAAGAAAAAAAAGGGAAATGCCCCACCCCAAGCTTAAGAACAAGCATTGTCCTCAATGCTTAAGGAAAGGGCGGAAAGGACCTAAATCGGAGGGTCGGGCGGCGGGAAATGTCTGTGGCGGTGGTTTCGTGAAATTACGACCGGTAGAACTCCGCCAATCTTGAATTTTCAAGCGAGGTGGGTGCTGGAAGGTTATATGAGAGGAATGGAGTGGGAGGTCAAGATGATTAAATGAAGAAGAAGAGAAGCTGAACATTTTAATCTATGGGTCAAAAAGGGTCAATTTCGGTCAATGTTGGTCAAGAAAAGTCAAAAGGTCAACTCATTAAAACCTTTGGTCAACACCTGGTCAAATAATAGCCAAAAATAGCCCAAATTGCCCAGCACAGTGCGCGGGTCGCGCAGTGTAGCACGCGGGTCGCGCAGACCTTGCAGTTAAGTCTTGGGCCAATGTCGCTTCATCACACCTGGCCGCGCAACCCACCCGCGCAACAGCACGCGGGTCGCGCAACCCCCTGATCCTGATCTTCATTTTTGCTTCATTTTTCTTCGTTTTTCACCCGTTCTGCTTTGGAAGGCCCCAAAAACCTAGAAACTCTTGATTTCTTCAAAAACAATTCTTTTGAATCCCAAAAGCATCTTCAAAAGTCATTTATTCAAATTAAAAACACAAAAACACAATGCTTTCCAAAAATGCCATTCTTTAACGTCTTTGGCGAGACGCCTCCAAACTTCACTTTAACACTTTGGGGCGTCCAAATGGACGACATCTTGGACATTTGAATCAAAAACTTCATTGAATGGCTTCAATCGATGTCCATTAACCTTGTAAATTTTCCCCGTGTCGACATTTTTTAATTTCCACACCTCCATTGAGACTCTTTTCTTGTATTTGACTTTCTTTTTACGGGAGAACCATACCGGACTCAAACCTTTGATAATAGCAATCATCCAACCATATTCTTTCTTGTACTTGTTCATTAAGGTGACCAACTCTTCCTTCTTTGACATGGTTTTTGAGTAGGTGACCGGTTGGGCGTCTTCTTTCTTGTGATACGTATCCTTTGAAGAGTCCGACAAATTTATCGCTTCCATCTCTTGTGGTTGGTCTACCAATGGAGTTAGTTTCTTAATGGTAGTGGGCGGCTCAACCTCTCTTTCATTAACCCCTATCACTTCCTCTATAGTTTCATTGTCAGCTTTTTCAATTTCTTCTTCTTCTTTGACAACCTCTTCCACTTCTACTTCTTCTTCCTCTTCTTCATATAACACTCTTGGGCCATCAAAAATTTTCTCATCATTCAAAGGAATGGAACATGCACTATGCGATGGGCTCTTTTCGGATGGTAATTTGTCTTGAGCTTCCATTAAACTAATTGATTGAGCAATTTGTGTTATTTGTTGCTCTAAGCTTTTGAGGCTAGCTTGGGTTGTTTCCTGAAAAATTTGGGTAGAAGTGGCAATGCTTTTAACAATGTCCTCTAAGGACATGCTTGGCGTTTCAGTTTGTTGAGGAGGGTAAGGATAGGGTTCTTGGAACAGTGGAGTTGGTGGGTATTGGTTATTTCCCCAAGTTTGGTATGGGTTTTGGTATTGGTTATTTCCCCAAACTTGGTTGTTGTCCCACCATTGATCATGTTGAGGTTGATCATAACTCGATTGGTTTGACAAATAGTAGCTTCCCTTCTCTTGCACGTCTCCCCATTCTCCTTGTAAATATGAACACATGTCGGAATGATGTCCATTTTGGGCACAAAAATCGCAAAGAAGAGGTGTGGGCTGCACACTTTGGTCACTTTCAATCATCATAACTAACTGAGCTAGCTCAGAAAGTCGCTCTTCGGTGCAAGGAGTGTTCATCTCCGAACCATACTTCTTTTTTTTTTTTTTTTTAATTTCAGGAATTTAAATTTGAGTACCTGCACAATGAGATCTAGGCATAGAGAAACAAATTGATTAAAAATAAACCAATCCCCGGCAACGGCGCCAAAAATTTGGTGGTTGTCGAGGCCAACACAAATAATAACCCTAAATGTTACACACTAAAATAGTGTATAGTGGTAAAGGGATCGAATCCACGGAGATTGGTTCAATTTCTAACTCTATGAAAAATCTCTTTGTAAAAATACTTGTAAAATAACAATAAAAATAAAATGGGGGGTTTTGGTGTTTTGAATACTTGATGCTAACTAGAATTAACTATGATTTAAATAGACAATTGCAACAAAAATAAGAATTTGATGTAAAATCAATAAGGGAAAGATGGTTGACTTAAAGTTTTCTCACTTTGACTTTTGATGAACATATCATTAGAATTCAATGGTGCAATACTTGTTTTAAATCCTCAATTTGGCTATAGTAATCCAAGGAGCTTGAGATTACCTAGACTTTTCTTAATTGTTGAAATGGCTAGAGAAGCTCATAACAATTTCCTTAGTCAAAGTCACTAATTCCAAATAGCATGTAATTAGTGAAAGTCAACTAGCATTAAGAACCAAAAAGTCACCAAATCCAAGAGGGGTCAAATGCTTTCACCACCATGTTGGAGGAAATGTTTTTATGATTGTGTGAAGTAAAAACAACACAAAAATCATTTGTTGCTTGCTAATTTGAGGATCCTTTACTTAATCAAGAAATTAGCCAACTAATCACCACAAACACATTTAAACTCATGAACTAAAACATACAAGTAATGATAAGATGTTAAAACACAAAACATTTCCATAAAGATTCAAGAACATGTTCATGGATTCTTCAACATTCAACAAAAGTTCAAAGGATTAAACAAAAGTCAACCAAGATTAGTTTAGCCAAGCATGGCTAAACACAAAGAAACAAAGTTAGAGAAATTTGTACCAAACATTAAGCAAGAATCAAGAGGTAAAAATATGATGTTCTTCAAGGGTTCTTGGCCTTCAAAAGTCCCAAAACTCCAGAGAGAATCCAAAAATCGGGGTTCAAGAGTATGCAAAAGATGGGCACCAACCTTCCTCAAATAGCTCAAAAGAAGAATTTCCGAAACTGCCCCTGCAGGAGGTTGCGCGACCCGCGTGCTGCTGCGCGGGTGGGTTGCGCGGGTGGTACCTGACATGGGCTCCTTTGAGATTTTGGGCCTCTAAAGCATATCCCACTAGCCCAGATCGAATCCAATCACCTCCTAGCCCATTTTCTTCAAGTTTTTCTTCATTTAAAGCCCAATTTGACCTCTCTAAATCCTCCAAAGCTCGTGAACTCGCCCGATTAATAATTTTCATACGCTTGAATGTTCCCCCGCATCTTTCAAATTTAAAGCTCAATTCTTCCAAGCCTTCAAGCAATTGACAAGTCCACCCCATGAATCACATTCATAGCCATCAAGCATGAAATCTCCAATTCCCTTCAAGCCCAATCGCCTCGCAAGAGTGCCGCCCCGCTAGTTTCCAAGAAAATCTGCAATAATGCTCAAGAAACTAGAAAGTACCCCGAAATGGTCATAAAAATAACAAAAGGGAAAATATGCATGAAAGTTAACTAAAATGCGAATGAAATGTACTAAACTAAACTATAAAAATAAGTAAATAAAATGAAGCTATCAGATACCGACGGTACTGTGGTCGTACAAGACTACACCACAAACAAGTACGAAGGAAACACCCTTCAGTCTGACGTACGGGACAGAGGCCATGCTTCCCATGGAGGTGGCAGTGAGCACACTAAGGGTGACCAATAAGGACGAGGAAAGCAATGCTAAAAACCTAAGGATAAATTTGGACGTCCTGGAGGAAAAGCGTGAAAAATCTGGAATGCGCCAAGCTGCATACAAGCACGCGACATAAAGGTATTATGACGAAAGAGTAAAGGAAAAAGCGTTTAGAGTTGGTGAATATGTTTTAAGAAAAAACTAGGTAAGTCGAGCCCAACCCCAAGGCAAGTTGGGCCCAACCTGGGAGGGCCCTTATAGAGTTGCATACGTGTTAGAAACAATGGAAGGAAAGTAGATTCCAAGAACGTGGAATGCTATGAACTTGAAGAAGTATTTCTTTTAAACAAAGAGGAAAGGGTCGCAACCCCAGCCGACCAATGCGCTGCTTAGTGTAGCACATCCCAAGTACTTAGAGTACATATGTCCATGCTTAGTGACATGAGTTCAATACTTAGTGTATTTAAAAGTTCGCGGTCAATATAGAATGATAATACAATTGCTGATCTTTGATATTTGGTGTATTAATTTATAACGATTGAATGTTCACATGCAAAACTCGATCGTTGGGTTCTAAGAGCACCCAATACTGACACTTAGTGTGTCAACGATAGCATGGGCAAAACGAAATGCCTAGCGCATCAGGGCGTTGTATCTCCTAAATAATGTATAATAAACAAGCAAGCAAAACGATAAGCAAAGCGAGCAAAAAACAGACAATGCTTAGAGCATACAAAATACGCATCCAGGAAAATAAAACATCGTTTTTAAAAGGCCAAACATTACACAAGTTAGAAGCATCAAAACCTAAACCAACTAAGTAGAGAAATTTTCACACCCCAAGAGGGGTAGCACACGATGCTGGGGCACCCTACCTAACATCCTCTCCATCACCCATAGCCACCTCACCAACATTATCATCACTAATACCTGCTCCAACACCACGATCACCTTCACCACCAGGCTCACCATCCTTACCATTCTCCCCCGCATCAACCGCAACCACTAGCACAATTTCCTGACCCATCACATTTTCTGGAGTACCCTCAGAACCACCAAAAGAACATAACTCCCGAATACCTTCAATACCTAACTCCCCCAAACCCAATAGAGATGCGTGATCCGTACTGAAAAAAGACAAAAGAGCATCGTTTACACTAACCTCAGGACCAACCAAAGAAGCACCAACAACTACCTCCCCACCACCACCACTAGCAGAAGTCTTCTGAAGGGACTCAACCCCAGCCACAAACGCAACATGGTGGATGAGGCTTATGGCATTGGTAAAATTAGGATGCTAAATCAACTTATCAACAATACGAACAACACCAACACGCACTAACCAGTCCAGGTCTCGACAAGAAGCGTCCATATCCGACTGTAGCGACGACACAAGCTTGTCACGATCAACGACATCACGCTCAAGACTCTCCACCTGAATCATCAAAACCTCTTTCATCTGTGTGAGAGAGTCAACCTTGGCCTCCAACACGACCCTAGCTTCATCAAGGACATTTTTATCAGACGCTAGCAACTCGCACTTCTTTTCAGATAAACGGAGATCATCACCAAGCTCGTTGAGACGGCGCTCCAGACTTGCCACACGTGATCCATAGGCGGCATGCACGGTATCCATCTCGCCAAGGGTATGGACGCGCCGGGAACCAGCAACAAGATAAAACATAGCCTGCGCAGCAGCGTAGGCCATATTGTGAGCAAGGGTAGGGTTACCCATCGCCTCCATATCTCCAACTGCAGCCAGAGGAAAGGCGTGGCGCGAAAATTCCAAAGCATGGGCACGCACAAAGAGTCGAGAGTCATTGCGAAGATCCTAGGATGGAACAAAAACAGCAGACTCATAAGCACCATCTCCAGAACCACCATCCTTGGAGACTACAGCTTGTCCAGGGACACCAAAACCTTTTGCTGGGGAGAGATTTTAAGGAACAAATGGAACACTTGGAGAAGGAATATAAGAGAAGTCTGAAATAGCGAGCTGTTCAGTCGCCCTGTTGATCCCTTCGGACTGTTGCGTGTCGTCATCAGGGGTCACTACCACACCAGTTGGTGTGGAACTCATAGAAATCAGCAGGTGAGAAAAGTTTCGCCCAGTATGTACCCTCTTGGTAGCAGTGGGCATGCTAGTAACTGGCTCACCCATGGCTTGTACAGCTTTTCGTTGCGCCTGCATCTGCCGGACATCGGTGATGATTCCCTCCTTGTTGTCCTCGCTATCCTCCATGGAGGAAGAAGGAACGCCACCTAGAGGAATGATAGCAGAAATGGGGTGAGCATGCAGTGGATTGTCCTCGGACGCCGATGAACTTGTCGGAGGAACAGGATGGGCGGCAGTTAGAGCAAGCTGATCCATCCGGTGAGGTGGAGGAAGCCGATCGACCAGATCCACCTCGCGAAACTCCAACTTGCCCTGATAACGTTTTTGCAGCACCTCATCCATGGACAGAGAAGACTCAGCACCTAGGGAAAGCAGAACGAAAATATAAATAACACAAGTGTAATAAGGGGACGAAAGGGAAAAGAGGGATACAACGCTCACCATCAACGATGGAGAAGAACACCGCCATTTTGCCACGCCGCCTCCAAGAGGGGCTCATCCTTACCCCAGAAAGAAGCGCCTCGGAGTAATCTTCAGCGGATACCTGCACACCCTTCAAGTAGTCAGTGACACCTTGGTTATGGGGAAAGAGTTTAGGGGCGATATCGGCGAAAACGTTGGCACGGTAGCGACCACTCCCAACCAGCTCCTGATTCACCCACAACCATTTATCTTGCCAATTTTTGGGGGTATGCCCGTCGAGGACTAAAACGTGCCCCCCCTCATCGAACCGAGAAAGTGCATTTATCTCCGTTAGCACAGAAACGGAAGAAAAACTTGAAGACGAAGTAATCCGGAAGATACCCATTGGCCCAATAGATCATTTCAAACAAAACCACTTTGTTAACTGCATTAGGGGTCAACATCTGGAGGCTGCAACCATCTTTTTGGAGGACCACCTCCTGGAAATCCGTTAGCGGAAAGCGTATACCAACATCTAGGGTTTTCAGATAAACCCCAATCTTACCAGGGAGAGGAGATAATGGAACCAGGAGAGGGAAAATCCACACCCTCCAAGGAAGATAAACCATAAGAGATCACCAACTGACGATACTTGGCGGCAGATGGAACGATTCTGGGAAGGTTGGCCATGAACGAAAATAGAAGATAGGCGCAAAAAGGGAAAAGAAGAGCAGATAAGGCAAGAGAAATTATGCAGAGACCCTTAATAAGGAAGTGGAAGAGGTGGGACATTTAAATGTCTGGCACAATGACGTAACTGCCAGTCATATCTCGCAGTCACGTCGCCATTAAAGGCGGAGTGATGTATAAAGAAAAAGCGACACGCGTAAGATAGTTAAGCCCAAAATGCCGTAACTAGCGCTGAAACGCTACAACTACTGGACTGGGGGACTTTATGGTGTGCCTAGGGAAGCTCAACAGAACCGTGTCTAGCCCAAGAGCCGAGCACGCCAACTAAGCTCAGCCCAGCAAGCTTAGCGCCCGCTGGCATCCACGGGAGCGAAGCGCAGGCGAAAGGCTCGCACCCGCCAATAGGCGCTCCTGACTCCATGACTAAAGATACGGATAGGAGACAAGCAATAGGATCAGAGCATTATCGTCTGAGCCAATGAGAGCGCTCTAACGGTTGATGGCGCATGACCCTCCAATCAGCGCCTCTGATCCTGTCTCCCCAAAAGCGATTATGTCTGGTACGGCTCAGGCAGGAGTGCTAGGTATAAAAGGATCTACTCTCAGACCTGCGAGGTAAGTTCTCTAAGCTTTCTGGAGAGAATACACATACAAACCCTAGAATACCCTCTAACTTGATAGTCGGAGCATTCTTCCGAGAGCTCCTCCCGGAAAGCGGCTGACGGCCTCTTTTCTTGTGATCTTGCAGTGTTAGTTAGACGATCGAGAGAAGTTCATGGAAGAAACCAGAGCAAGGTCGCATCATGAGTTGTATTTAAGGAACTCGTTTCTGTTTAGAGTTCGAGTAGAGTTGATATTCGGAGTCGGGATCTGTTCATCTATCATTATGCATTAAAGGTGAGTTTCCTCACTGGGTTTAGCGAGCCAAAGGCACCAATGTTGGCCCATGTTTATGCCATGTTAGTATGCTAGTTGTCTTCGTGACTCTTGAATGTGTATGTGTTTATGTGCTTTCCGGGCTAAGGTCCGATGTCGGGCGGGGCCCGATGATTGTTTGTATGCAATGTAATCGTGTTATATGTGTATGTGTTTAATTGATATATGTTATATGCATGTTGGGCCAAGACCGATTCACTTCCAAGCTCGACTTGATGATCGGGAGGGGCCCGATAACTGGGTAGGGCCCGATAACCGTGCATGACCCATTATATGATTATTGTATGTATGGTATGATGTGTTTTGCAGAACTCACTAAGCTTTGTGCTTACGATTTTTAGTTTATGTTTTAGAGTTATAAAAGGAAGAGCTCGAGATGACAGCATCGCACACACCATTGAGATTCTGCTATGATGTTTTACTATGATTTATGGAAAATCGATACATTGGTTTTATTCAAATGTTTGAATGTTATGGGAAAATACTACTGTATCTATTATTAATTTGAAAATTTTTGGGACCATATTTTTGGATGTTTCAGAATTCATTACATTGTAAGATGTATTCTTTGGGAAACATTGTAAGTGGTTTCCTTAGGGAAACATTGATAAAGGTTCCCGTGAGTGGAACATTGTTAAAGGTTTCATTCGGAAAATATTGTCAACAATTCCCTGAGTGGAATACTATTAAAGGTTTCATTCAGGAAATCTTGTTAGAGGTTTCCTTTTGGTAAATATTGTTAAAGGCTTTTGTGAGTGGAACATTGTTAAAGGTTTCCTTCGGAAAACACAATTACAAATCTCTGTATACGCAATTTATCTACCAAGCTTATGTTGGAAAAAGATTTCTCATAATTGATCATTATGACTTGTTGAAGTTATAAATGTTGAAAATGTTTTCAAGATAATGAAATATTATAAGTTGAAAAGAACATTGATGGTTATGAAAGACTTGGAAAAGTCTTTGGAATGTATTGAAGTAAGCCCAAAGAGTTGTAAACACTGATAAACCTTATGAAAGTTTTTGTAAAATCAGATTTTATCATCACTATATGTCATTATAGTTTTACAACCATAATGATTTATTGGTTATATAAAAAATATGAATGTTACACCAATGATCCTAGTGAAGCTCATGTACCAAAACCAATTGAAGAAACCTAATTAAACTTGTTGTTTATGACCAGGGTTCTGATTGGCTTGTTTGTGGCTTTACTAATTTTTAGTGCATTGGTCTATGTATGTTGTTTAAGGCCAACAATGAAAGGAAATTTCCCTAAATTCTCTAATTTCAAGGTAACTTTAGTTTCTTTTGTTTCAGATATGAAATGTCCTTATAAGAGTTTTTTGCCAAAAATGAAAATGGGAGCTAAAGTTTAGGTTCCATTGTTGTCTTTTATGGTGTTTAGTTTATAAAGGTATTATGTAATAATGTTTATAATATTACAAAATTAGGAATTAATGTTTAGTTTGTAAGGTCCAATGTCAATGTGTATCTAGGTATGGTATGTCTACAAGTTACATGATATTTGTCAATAACCATGAATGATAGGTAATTACAAAGGTTCGATATAAACAATTTACATGCTATCAAGAAATAACAAAAATGACATATGTAACTAGTTATGAATGATCAAAATGGTGAAATGGCAATAAACGCTTCATAAACTTAATAACAAGTGCACATTACGATGTTGTTTTATGTGATTTAACCAACCACATTGTTTATAATACCCACTTTACAAAACGAGCATTCAAGAACCTTCAAATAATGATGATCAAAATGAATAAATAGAGATTTACAAAAAGTACATACCATCCCCTATACTTTTAACATAACATTAATCTATATTAATAGCATCATGTGTTTTGAAATCTGGCACTTCTTCCTACAAAATAATATTTAGTCGGTATGATATCTTAATTGAACGAATGGTTGGTATAATGTATCTAAATATGAGATCTATTACTGATGGGATTTCATTTTCTAAATGTTCATATAAAACAATTAATATCTCTTATTTATATCACGATTCTCTAAAAAACCTCTCTAAATCAGTAAATTTGTTTTCCACATTAAGACCATTCATTTGGATAAGATAGTACTTACTCATCTTCCTTAATTTCATCTTTATTCTCCATTGATTGAGACCGTCATTTAATTATTTTCCAGACCCTCGTTCTCCTTGTTTTCACCCTGATTCTTACTATTTACACCTACAACATCCGCAACATGTATACCTTCATTATTATTTGTACCTTCATCCTCCTTTACAACCTAATGGTAATTATCTAATGTATATTTGACTTTTTTTTGTCAATATATACATCATTAATCTTACCTGTGTATTGTACATGTATAGGAAAGTCAACAATTATACCAACAAGTAAGTTGCTAGAAAAAATAATGTAATCTCTATTTGCTTCATTTATCCTTTCCTTCATACTTGCCCCAATTTTACAAGTTGTATGTGCCTTCCTATTTATCACAACCTTACCATTTATCATTGTCTTCCATTTTTTGGCACCTACTCTTCCCACTTATCACAACCTTTACATTTATCGTGTTTTCCCTCTTTTTCTTGGCACCTGACATATGCATCCCCACCAATGCTTTTCTTGTATTTAGGTAGTGATGTTTATGTTAGTTTCTTTCATGTCATCACCTTCTTGAAAATAATTTTTTCAAGTTTTGATTATATCAATTTCCTTAAATCTATTATAATTTTCATCATATTTAATGACATGTATTTTTTAACAAGTGGTCTTCTTCACAATATTACGGGCGATAAGTGGAGTGATTTGTTAAATGTAGTTTTGAGCCACATATTACTCCGATGTAATGTCATAATGTTGCATTTGTAAGTGGCTATATATATTGACACACTAAACCAATTTCTCACAAAAGATTTAGGATGTTGGTGTGTGTAGTTTAGGACAACACAAGGGAATTCCTAAGATTTCCCAAAGCCTACAAGTTCATTTCCTTTCATTACCATCTCATTAACTAACAAGTTACTTCCATGTACTTACAATTGTCCCCATGACAATTCCTAACTCCCTCATGGATTAAGTGGGCAATACTAAAAACGATGACATAAATGTATCATAACTCTACAACAGATAAGAATTACCACTTAACTCCCTTATAGTGTAACGACCCTAAAAATTAGTGTGCTTGACTTTAGTGAAAATGCAATAAAAAGTGGAAATGCATTGCACACTCTTCAATTGATATGATGTTCCTACTTGTGTAGGTGATGAACATGTGTCACTAGAACATGATAGGTGGCAAGAATAAGGTCTGAGGCAAAAATAAATAAAAGTAGTATGTCTATGGTACACATGATTGGACACACTGACACATATCATCGAAGAAAGATGAGTGACAGAGCCGTGAAGAACATGTGGACCTAGACCCCTACACACACACACACACACATATATATATATATATATATATATATATATATATATGTGTGTGTGTGTGTGTGCGTGCGTGCGTGTATGTGTGTGTATGTATGTATGTATGCTTAGTGTGTGAGAAAAAGAAGGCTTTTATTTGGGGAAATGGAAAGGTCAGTATAATGTTCTTACGAGAATATTGTTTAAAAGTTCCTACATGAACAATGTTATGTGGTTCCTAAAAGAATAGTGATAAAGGTTTCTACGTGAATAGTGGTATGATATTCCTACAAGAATATTATTTAAAGGTTTATACAGGAACAATTATAAAGGTTCCTATGAGAAAAATGATAGAGGTTCTTACGGGAAAAATGGTATGATATTCCTGCAGGAATATTAATATGTGATTCATATGAGAATATTGATATGTGATTCCTACGGGAATATTGATATCTGATTCCTACGAGAATATTGCTATAACGTTCCGCCAGGAACATTGTTGTAGATTTGCTAAGAGAAATATAATTAAATAGTTTTATGCTAGAAAACATTATAAAATACTCCCCAATGAGATATTGTGTCAACTGTTGGGATGGAAT